TTTTTAGCATTCTGTAAGTAGTGAATGGTGTGTCTGTTACAGGTAGCTTGTTGGTAGATACATCCAGTACTAGATATCTTTACGTGTACTTGGGTGATTGAATTCTAAGCATATTTAGCTAATGTACTCATTACCAGCTGAGGATCATAGAGAACAGCCATTTTGCCAATAAAATGCACTTGAAAATAAAGATGAATTATGTACACATACTTCACATCCAAGCTTACATGCACAGTGCTGCTGAACAGGCATTGTGTGTTCATAGTCACTGAATAAATTAAAATCGAAACATATCTTGTGGGCTTGACAGTTGGCAAGTTCTCTTAACATAACGTACAACTGACTTATGTCTCGGTATGTGTAGATCAAGCTGAAAAAAGAGAGTTTCAGCCCTCCAGAAGGATGGCGATGGGAGGGAGACTGGCACGTCAGCCCAGAACTGAGGTGATATAAAAAGCCTAGCCAATGTACACTTGAACTCAATATATTGACATGATTGAGGATGCCTTAATGTATCGGTCAATGTACCTTGCATGTAGAATGTAACTATTGTTTCACTCAAGGAATGATGTGTTTGTAAGTTGAATCTTCTGAAGTGAATGTCACATTATGGCCATTGCATTTTGTAAAATGTTGGTTGTCATCGTGGGATGGTTTACACATGTGTCATGTGGTGCAGGTAACTCAGACTTAGCATTTTCTGTTTATTTACAGCCTGTTGTATGACGCTGATGCTGGAATGACCAAGTTCCTGGAAGATGTGTATGAGCATGAATCCAGAAACATACCTGGTGGTTACTGGGGATCTTCTAGCGTGCCCTTCACTAATGTGGTAAAGTCATTTGCTTCACTGAGATGACACTGCATACTTGTTCAGTTACTTTCATTCATGCAAGATGTCGTTATTTGGTTTCATTTTTCAGTTTTATCTATGGAGAACCAACTTATGAAAATGAAGTCCTTTCCGAAGGCACAAGAGAGCTTTCATTAATCCAAAATTCTTGAACATTCTATGCTCAGAATCTTATTAAAATCTTTTTTATTATTTCCAAGGATAGATTTGTGCCAAAATCCAAAATGAATTAACTTTTTATTGATCATAAAGATAGGCCTACTTGAAAGAAACAAGTGGATACGGATTTTAAAAATGCTTTAGCGAATAAAACCTCACTTAGTTATGATCTTATGACTGTTGACATCTCTTTTCATTGTTCTGAAAATGGGAACAATCCATGAATTGGAAAAACTAATGGGGCATATTGCAGTGACGCATGACACAGTCTTGTGTTTAAAGCAAGGGGAAGTTCAATTTTAAAAGTAACCACATTAACATGTTTAACATAACAGAAAATTGATTTGCCTTTAGTGAAACAAAATTAATTTTACTTTAACATTCAGACTGGCAGATACCATGATTAATTTGATAAAATATCAAAAACATTTTTCACTTAATTTTGCTTCAAACAATCCAACAAAATAGGGAACATGTTCATTAAATAAGAATAAAATGAGAAAACCAGTCTCCCCCAAAATCAGAAAAGTACGGGATCAAAGAATCATTTTTGGCAAATACTGAACTGAAATGAAAAGTTTAAGGTCTTGTGGATGTTCTTTTGTCCATAAATGTATTTGGATGCTGATTACTTCTGATGTAGTATTTTTGGTTTTAACCCCTTGACGACGGGAATTTCTTCCCGAAAGCCGACTCCAAGAATTCCAGCCTCGCTTGGCCACCTGCCAAACCGCAGATTCTCGGTTTGTGGCCCTGCATGCTCTGCACGCTTTGAATTACACGGTAAAAAGGCTGATTGTTCGGTGGCATGCGGCTCTACTCAAGCTTGGATATTCCCGTTGCCTCATTTCAAAGTGGGGACTATTGTGAAGCTGGTGATTTTGATGCAAATTTGGTCTTTTCATTTCTGGGCTACGCACAAAGACCAATTACCATATATACAAGAACCAGGGTCTGCCTTCTTTCACTGTTCGCTCGAGCGTGGGTTGAGAATAATAGCTGAAAAGCGAGCTGAGAATCTCAATTTTTACAGCAGCTCTATCCGCGTCTCGGTGCAAAGGGGTTAATCATTACAAACCCCTTCATCCTGGGAGGAGGATGTGAGGATTAATGCATACCACACATTCTATTCATCATGCACCTGCGGTTTCAATGTGGACCTGCTGCTGGACAGAGCTTTCCATACTGCAGTCCAGCAGTCATGGTCAAAAGAATCCCAGCATGAATGGGTTAAGTGTGTTAGTGAAGGGTTACAATTTCCATATTTATCTCTCAGAATGCGCTTGTTATAAATTAAGGTTACATCCTTGAGTTGCATAATTGCAGCATGTTCACTGTGTCCATGAACATAAAGTAGACTTTTGAAACTGACCAATACCAATGCTATTCCAGTGTGCAGACATTGCAGCCCATGCTCATTTGTGAATATTAAGAAGGGAAATGCTTTTTGGTGGGCATTGAAAGAAATGTGACAAATGTTTTTTTGTTTAAAATTGGTAGAAAGGAGATGCTTGTACTGCCCGTGAGGAGATACAGCCACCAGAGGGATGGGAATGGGAAGAAGTCTGGCAGTTAGATATCAACAGAGCAGTAGATGAAGAAGGTTAATATCGTCCCTCTAGATATCATTCATTTATTTTGTTGATAGAAGCCTGGATAGAATTGTGCACAGGTCATTACTCAACCATTTTTGTTAAAAATGGTTTGTGTACACTTACATGTATGTGTCAGTACACACAAAGGAGTCTGGGAAACATTTTTCAAATGAGGCATCTTACACTACACTCATAGAAACTATACGGCGCAGTCATGCTTGACTGGACAGTTTCACTGGAAAATGTTTACATTACATGTGAGTCTCCACTAATGCAATGTAAAAGCTTTGCAGTAAAACTGAGGGACATAAATCTTACCAGCATTTTGAATGTATTTATTCACTCAGCGCCATTAGTTTTGCCAAAAGAGTAACAAGAACACACTTTAAATTTGTCAGCATAAGCCATACTACACATGCATAAATCCTGGTTTGAAGAACTTTGAAGCAGTCATAGGAATATTTGTGATAAAATAAATTTATAAATTGACATCCTTTATAAGAAATAAGTGAAAGTTTTTGGTTTGGAATGGGACTCACCTCACTGAAACTTCTGAGCCCCATCATAAGTAATTGTAACTGATTGATCTTCTCTTTGAGTTCCCAGAAGTTTTTAAAACTTCACATGCATTTTTACTTACAGTACTGCTCACAGTAAACAGACAAACAGATCAGGATCACCGTAACAACACTGTTACCATTGTAACAGCGTTATAAAAATAGTTATCTTAAGTGTCTTAATCTGCATGGTGCATGATATTCTCTTAATGTTTATCGGGCAAATAACTACATGCTCGAAAACTGCAACTTATCAGCAGTGTTAACCGCACGGAACTTTTTATAATTCCTGTGTAAATGGTATGAAGAACCACTTACGGCTTTCTTGTGATTCTGTAGCATTTCTTCAATAGAAGAATGTACTTGCACTCAGTACATTTTTTCACTGGTTGCCTAGTTCTGAAAATCAAAACTCGACACAGTCAATTTTGGTTACGGTGTAAAGGAGGAAAACTATGTACAGTCAAAAGAATAGTAATTTCCCTAGTCAGGTGTTGAAAATTATTCATTTTAACTCCAGCAGCTCAAATAGTCCTAAAATTCCACGGAAGCTGTTGTCAGTAGTCACCACTGTGTTTATCAGATCTTACAAAATTATTTTCAAAATGTTCAACTTTTAATTCGGACTGACAAGATTGACAGAAGTGACGACACTTTCCCACAATTTGGATCAGTTTCACCCATTCCCTAGTCACCTCTAAAGCTTCTTCCTGTATGAAAACGAATCTAGAACAAAGCTTATTTTTCATCCAAAATTACTTCAATACGCGAGATTTCTATTGAAGAATTTCCTGGTTTAAAGAAAACTGCTTCATTTATCTGAATTCTGGTAAATTAAATTTTGACTAGACTTAAACTGCCAAGTTCGTTACGAGCTACTTCATGCATGTGAACCATGCAAACACCCACTACATCACACAAAAACATACGCACGTGTAGTTGAGTTCGGCACGTATTTTGATATACAATGTACAGTTGATTTCCTAAGTAGTGATTTTTCCTAGTTCTGGATCGCTTGAAATAAAAACGTACCTCGTTTGTCACTATGAATTTCCGCTCGGTTAAAATGCAGTTTCTCGGTTGATGATGTGATGTAGTGGGTTTATAAACACGCGGTGGTCGGGGATGGCCTTGTGATTGGCAGCTCGCTCACTGCGCAGCTGAAATAAAAGTCAAATGAAATTTACACAGATTTGAGTTCTAATTCTTAAGAATTCTGGTTAAGGAAGTTATTTTCAGTAAGTAAAGAAAATCTTTGTTAGAAAATCATCATCTTTTTGGGATTTCTGCCGGAAAATTGATTTTTTTTGCTTCATTACTTCACATTCTTGACGAAGTTTTTGAAATTAACCATTCTAATAGACCTAACCTAAGCAAAAGTGTCGTCGTCACATTTGTCAACCCTAAATTAAATGTTTTAATTTTTCACACACAACAAAATTGTAGTCTCACCTGTACACAAGGTGAAATAATGACCACATTTCACTGAAATTTGAGGATGAGTTGAACTGCAAACAGTTAATAATTTTTGTGATCCGGAAATAGGAAAATGACTGCAGCCAGTTTAGCAGAACCCAAGCAAACAAGACATCATGCAATATGCTAAAAAAGTGCTGGTAATGGCATTCCAAGGCAGGGCAAAGTTTGCGGTTTTATAATCTGTTGTTAATCCCCATTTAATCCAATAACCGGGGTAATCCAACCTATACCATGTATACAAGTACACAATGTGGGAATTGAACTGGACATCATGTTGCATTTAATGTGAGCAGTACTGTACTTCACATTTTGTGGATTCAATGGAGCGTAATTTCAGTGTTAGAAATTGTGCTACATGTATTAATTTTCAGTAATTTTGGAAATGTAACAAATGAATGTACTTTAATTTATGTTGGTTTTTCACACAATATGTATCACCGTACATATTGTATCATGACCCATGTGGTATCATGAGCAAGTTGTATTGTTACAGCCCTATTTTTTTCTGACTGGCAAATGGAAATGATTACATGTAATTCAAATTTGTAAAAGTTTCGGGTTGAAATTGATTCTTAAATAGTTTCTTTTCTATTGGTTGCCTGAATGGCAATGAAATGTGGGAGATGTTCTCACTTTTGCACATTTAAGTTTGAAGAAATATCAGACCTGCATATACATTTACAAATCAGTATTTGCATTGAAATAGTCAAGTCCTCATATGTGTTTTTCTGTGTACATTTTATACATGTCCTAGTACACTATGTGCTAGATGCATATTCCAAGTTTTTAATTTGTTGTGTCAAGGCTTTGAATACTGTGTGGAGGCAACTGTTGGGGGCTGGGGAGCAGTGGAGAAGACGTACCATCTCTGCCGTCGTCGACGCTGGGTCAGACCACGTATCCTTGTAGCTGATCCCAAGGCACTTGAAGTAAGTCCTTTTGTCACCGTTAGCAATAAGTTCTTAACTATAAACATAACATTAAGTTTGTTAGCATGAGTAGTTACTAAATATACTGGCTTTTAAGGTAGTTTCATTTAACGTGTGAATAACTCAGCATAGTGTTACAAATTGTACCTATAGCATATCCTTGCCTACAAACATACATGTACCAGCATTTATTTTGATCAGTTGTGTACATTACCCGTAGGATTTTTAATGTTGGACTGTGAAAAGTTTTACCTTTATGTCCAATTTCACAAGGATGACTCGACATGGTGTCACAATTTCAACCTGTAACCAATCCCAACTTCTTAACATACCAACATTCAATTTGCTTGGATATGTAATTTGTTAGAGTCTACAGTGCTCATCTTACCCACAGACCAACCACAGATACACATGTACCTATTTCTCAAGAGGATGCAACACATCCGATACGAATTCACACAGTTGGATATTAAGCTTAGGTGGTACTCCCTGTTCCAAGTGGAATCGCGGTTATAAAGAAAAATCAGGATCAGTGGCTCAGCTTTTGTGAAGAACCGGATACTTACCATGGGTGGTTCCACCTTCAGAGAGCCGACCCCAAACATCAAATCCGCATCCAGGAGGCATTAATACCTCCCCTGATCTTACCTTGAATGTGAATCTGCTGGGAGAAGCACCCCCTCTTTTCAATATAGCAAACAGACTATAGCAAACCCATAGGCTGGGCGCCAGGCTGTGCTCAGCCCTCCTCACATGCTGCTATATATGAGGAGTGACAGCTGATAGAAATTCTTGCCAGTTAAGGCCTCTATTAGCAAGCCACTGCACTAAACCTCAAAGCAAAGTGAACCACCACCATAGATTTGCCCTCTAAGGCATCGGGACAAAAATCAGGTTTCAAGCCCCATGTCCCCGTGGTTGGTCAATCAAAGATAACCTCGGCCAAAAAAGGTAATTTACATCTTGCCATGAAAAATGTCAGAGTCTTTATCAAAATGATCCCCAATTGGGCCAAATGGCACAATGTTCAGGATTTATATCTCTGGCTGATTTCTGCCAGGCTTTTCAGGCATTATTGGCCTCTATCTCGGCCATATCATGAGACATTGGACAACTCATCCAATTTGCATGATAGTTTGCCACCAGTGGTGTAGAATCGCTGCTTCTTAGAGGATTTCAGCTTTTTTGTCGTACCGGATTTATTTTCTGTTTTTTGCCTTCGCTTGGCCAGATTTTCCTTGGTTTTTGTTGAGCTGAAAAGCAAATGCAAGAATCTGTAATACCAAGTTCTCTCGGCCTGCTGGGCCTTCCATCGGGGCGTCTGTTTGCGGGATGGGCGGCCCACCCCATGTTAAAGTTTTTATATGGCTATAGTACATGTATGTGTCATTTGTGCTTGTCTCTTTCAATCTTGAGTTTATTAGCATCAGATCTTTATGTGGGATCATTGCTTTTAAGGGTTGTTTACATAGATGTACATATTGATGATGCATTGGGATGGGCAGGAGATTGATAGGATAATAGGAGGGAGGTAGAGTAAGAGATGGATGAGATGATGGGGGCAAGAAAAAATGACCAATGGATTGCAGGAGGAGGCTGTAAAATGCACCACAGAGCATCTGTGTTTCAAAACTTGTCTGGGGCCCTTAAGTGGGCCCTGAACCCCACGTCGTATTTGCTTGTGAACAAAGTTTTCCCGCATGTGGTGCATATGCACATGTTGCAAAGTTTTGCGTAGCGCAGGACTGTGTTTGGTGTGAGGAAGGCTGATTGGCAAGTGACTACAACTGGACTCAGTTTCGTCTAGTGGTGTTTAAATGAAGAACTCTTCACTCGCTACAGATACCAACAACCCAGGCGATAACTCTACAGCCCAGAAACAAAACGTCCCCTTGCACTTCCAGTGTGTGTGACATGTACATGTACTTCATGCCCATAAAGCCATGTATGGGTACAGTCTGGTGTATGTAGCATTATGCATGCAGCAACGCTTGCTTGTAGCCCTGTGTGACGTACATGTACACTGTACATGCGCTGAATGATTGTACACTGACAGCACCGTCGTGCAAAACTGTTTTGATGGGAGAATCAGAAAAATGATTCTGTCATTCCTGTTAGGCAGGCCTAATGTTTGATTGATTTCGTTTCATTTTTCTCACGAATGGCAAAGTATAATTATGAAGTAAATTGCTAGCGAGGAATGTGATACGGATGGTTTCAGGTGTTCAATTATTAGCATTTCTCTGATTGCACTCTTTTTGGTGTGCGATGGTGTGGAAGTGCAGTTACACGCCTTAAAATGAAAAGAGTGGCTAAGGGTGAACATAGTCGGTGGAAGGGGGATCATTACATGTATATTGGTAATCTCCCAGGTCAAAAAATCGAAAGGAGAACAGAAGATGATGGGTATGCCACAGGGCATGATGGGTAGCCTGTGGTAGGAATTATTATATGGATGTGTTGTACCTTCTAAGGAAATATGCATTTGAAGTCACTCTACGGCTTATAAGTATTTGCTAGCAGATCCCTTCCACACATGAGGGAGGTGTGAAGATTTTTGAGTGAAGAGCATTTGTTATGATTGTGTCGCATGACACATGAATAATGCAATGTGATGAAGCAACTAGTTTTACTTGACCCAGATTGGGTCTGCAGAACAAAAATTTGTTATCCTGTGGAAATTTGTCAGAAAAAATAAAATGTAGAACAACTTAACTTAATCTTCCTTTCACGATTTATGAAATTTAACTTTGTTGAGTTGTAGATACTATGTTTGGATGGCAGTGTACCTATTAAGAAGCTGTAGGAGTTCTGAAGTATTTCTTTTTTATACAGAAAAAGAAAAAGAAGGATCTTGGAGAGGGTTGGGAGTTTGCACCGCTGTTCAACATGAAGTTCCATGCTACAGAGCGCAAGATGGACTTGGTACGCCGTCGGAGATGGCATCGTAAGATGGTAGCAGAATCTCCCAAAGCAAAAGCTGTCTTCTCAATGGGCAAGGTGAGCAAACATTAATGTATTCCTGTCCTAGCTCTGCTTCTACATGTATGTTTGATTGACAAGAAGGAACGATTTTTTAAAAGTTATTAATACTTTTTATGAGAAAATTTGTTATTTTTGTTTTTCTTCAATAGAAAATGCTTGATGCATGCAGTGTTAGTTACTTACCATTTTCATGTTGTGGTATCACTGATTAGGATGATGAAAGTGGTGACGAAGAAAGCAAAGCCAGCCTATCAGTACCGAGAATGTTCCTCAACTTTCACAGTGAGTACATTAACTTAAGAAAGAGTATTACAACATCAGAAACACTTTCAGACTGAAATGCTGTAGATATCATATTCAAACAATACAAACTTGTTTGATCTGTTTTATTATTGCAGTGGCCAACAAGTACCAGCTACGGGCATATATCTACCAAGCAAGGGACCTCATTGCTGCTGATTCAGATAGCTTCTCAGGTAAGTACTTCTGATGCTGTTATAGTCACTATAAGAACCTTGGGTTAGCCCTTTGAACAGTTGATACTGTTTTGCATAAATGAAATTAGTGAGGATAAGTTCTTTGACTGGTGAGATACTTCAGTTCAGCATATTGGCAAAAATATTGAGCGATCAGCTCAATTGTCTTAAGGACACCATAAAACTCAGAATTCTTGTTTACCCTTGATGCTTATTAGTAGCAAATGCTGTTCCCTTCTAGTAACAGCCTTGGAAACAACTCTTGGAATATCCATTGCATATTTGTGTACCTGCTGAATTGGAAATAGTTGAAGTTGTGATCATCCATTACTCAGTCCTTGTTAGTTGTGGTTTACATGTTGATCAAGTAGAGCATTTGCAGAGTTTGAGGAACAGTTTGATAATGGAGACTTTTCTTATGGATGCTTAGCTACATATATGACAAAACATACTCAAAATGTTTGTCCATGAAAGGCTATGCAGCCACATGCTTCTTCGATGTTAAATGGAGGTGGATATTGCTAGAAAATGAAGAATTTGGGCTTGGAAATTTGGAATTGAAGTGTTGGCAGGCAATGTTTCTTTATGAATATTTCTTTCCTTTTTGTAACTGCAATCAGGGTGTTTAATTAATTATTGTATGATGATAAACTCATTAATTAACAAACAGAAGTTAAAGTCACCATTATTTTATGCTGTACATGTATGTTGTGTGTTTTGTACCTACTTTGTGATACAGTAACTTATGCATAACATTTACTACAGTTTTTGCATGTAGTGTGGAACATTTCAGAATGGATATTTATTGTGAGTGCACTAAAAAAATTGCAACTGAAAATTTCTGCTTTGTTTATGAGATTCAAGTGACTTTACAGTTGAATTCAGAAAGCCATTTATAGTGATGATTGTGTTGTTTTCAAAGCCCACTGCCCAACTTCAAGTTTGAAACCTAAGATCCCCCCCCAATTCCACGGCATGTCAAGCTATTCATTGGACAATTTCGGCTCAGATAGAGTGATTGGTTTTCAAGAGAATAGGAACACGTTATGCAAGAAATGAAGCAAACAATATCTGTGTTCCGCTAATAGCTTGTAAAAAAGCCGTTTTCTTTTTCTGAGCAGTATTGTTTAAGCATTTGTATTTACTTTTTGATGATTTTTTTATAATTTTATTATACCATAATTTGTAGCGTAATTCACGGACTTACGCGGTGCATAATTTTCATGAAATCAGTCTCAATTTGTTGCACAACTTTACTCAATAAAATGTTGATGCAACCAAGGGCTAGAAAGTCCCAATTATACGCTATGAGCTGTTAGTGTATTTTTGCACTCACAGTTGTGAAAACTGTAATTACTTGTTTAACAATACTGGATCAAATCTTACAGGGGTGTGAGAATTCAGCCTTGATGTTGACCCTGAATTTCAGCTTTTTTGTACACCTGGTCTGTACAAATGTATGGGAACTTTTTACATTTCAACTTTTCATTAGCTGTTTTCAGCTTTGATTTTAATTAGCCACTCACACCCCTAATATTAAGACAAAGCCTGTTGCTGACTGAGGATAAACTTTCTGCATACTTTTGCTGCCATTAATGGTTGTCAACAAAGGAAATATCTATATGGAATGCATTGTATGTATCACCTGTGCTCAACACCAAAACCTGATAATAATTTGGAATGTCAACTGGTATCAGGTACCACTATGCCAAACTCCCACTGCAAAGTTTCATTCTTTCAGTGATTGCATTGTTGCAAGTACATGAACCAGTTGCAGTATTTCACCTACACTTGTTCAAGGCATCATATTATTTTTTGCCAATGAAACGGCCTTTCAAAAGCAAGATACCACAACCTCAGCCCTTTATAGGGTTAGTTTCTATGAAGCTGACCCTTGGTGGCCTTTTTCCCCCAGGATTTGTGTGCCGTTTGTTACAGCATTCACATTTTTTACCTTACAAGTCTTTTATACTCTACAAAGCTAGGCCTTGGCAATGGAATGCTTTAGTGCTCTGCACATGGTCAGGTTTAGTCAACTTGTTTGAGTGATTGAAGATGTACTTTATATTGGAAGATGTTAATTTTAATAACAGGCTTTGCCCTTACACTGACGTATATTCCTAACACCGTATACTCAATGTCAGAGTGTCAGACACTCAAACTACCTAGTAGTGGTCCGTCTCAATGGAGATCACTCCAACATATGGATGAGTTCTGGCATCATCTGCTACAGAATTTGTTTCAGCCTGCATGTTTACATATCAAATAATATGCTTAACCCCTCCCCTTAGACGTGTTTAGCACAAAATGCCTGCATCTTTGTGTCAAATAAGATATGAACTGGTTAACACCACTCCCGAGATGTAATTGGCACAAAACACCTGTGTGTTTACATGTCAAATAATATAAAAAAACTGGTTAATCCCACTCCCTAGATGTAATTTGCATTTTTACATCTCAAAGAATGCATAAACTAGTCAGTCCCACTCCTTAGTTGTAAGTTGCACAAAAGATGCACATGTCACATGATGCATTGTCACATGATGTGTTATCACATAATGTGTTAACTGGTTGGACTCTTGCCCACATCCCTCAAAATTCAATAGGTTTTTAAGGGTCACCTCTGTTACCTTTATAAAACATTGGGCTTGATGCTCAGCAAAAGTATCAATGATTTGGGAGGAGTTCGAAAGATTCTAAGAAACAATGTCTTTGGAGTTAGAATAAAAGTCTTGATACCTTGTTCGTTTTCATAGATCCATTTGCCTATGTGAGTTTCTTGAACCGAAGCCAGAAGACTGAACTGAAAAAGAAGACGCTTTGCCCAACCTGGGATCAGACGCTCATTTTTGATGAGATAGAGATACCGGGTGACCCTACAATAATTGCTGCTAACCCACCTGACATCGTTGTTGAAGTTTTTGATGACGACACATTTGTGAGTTCTCCAAGTCTTTGATAAAGAAGTTTGAACCAAAGTGTTTTTTATTACATGTGGACCCCTCCTGCTTTACATCGTAGATATTCCTGTCGATTAGTGCAAGTTACTCTTTGAAGGAAATCCTTCTTAAACTATCAACACCACTTGAAAACATTGACTGCTGCGAGGAGCTTTTTTCAAGTTAAGCACAAGTGACATAATTTTCCATAACAAACTGTGTGTCAAACTTGTTGGTGTTTGCAGTGACTTTACCTTCATGTATGCCAGCAAAAGTGAAACGAAAGTATAAGCTATGTAGGAATATTGCTGATGTTATGTTAGACTTAATTACAAGTGGTTTGAATGTACAGGGAAGTGATGAGTTCATGGGACGTGTGGTGATGAAGCCTGTGGTGAAGCTAGACAGTGCTGATCAACGTGTAGCCAGGTTGGCATGGTATACCTTGTGCAAGGGTGAAGGACATGCTGGAGAGTTACTAGCGTCATTTGAACTCTTCTTGATGGTATGTTAGTTGTCCACATGTACTTGATTATTTCTTGTTCAGTGTTAACTAGCAGAGGATATGAAGAGTATAAATGCAAAGCTGTAAATCCCAATTTGGAAAATGAGAAAAACCTATCCATGTAATTTAATAATTTTTGGCTGAACTGTGTAAACATTCTTTGAATTGCAATTTTAAAGAGGTTTCAAAATTCGATCGAAGGGAAAATACCAAATCATTTTCTTATGCTATACATGTGCAGTTTTCAAGAATGTGCCATTGGTGTTCTTCAATTGTTATGATCCAAAAATCTCCAAACTGTCAGTGATGTAGTCCGGCAGGCAAATGCCTCTTCTTTCCTGAACTGTGTTTTGGAGGATATAAAATATGTGTTGAAGGATTTATGTTCTGTAGACAACAAACAGCAAGAATCTGGATGACAACCTTTGATGACGTTTTGGGCACTTTGAGATATAAGTGAAAATTTCCTTCAACTATATTGAATACAATCTCAAGAAATGTGGAACTTTATACAACTATTGGTGGCACTCTTTGAAACATGTATACAGTACTGCAAAATTGAAATTATATTTATTAAAGATTTTTATATGCAAAACAATTAGTTACACAAATAAAAATGAAAGACACATGGATTTTGTATTTTTGTTGATAAAACGTACATTGTTTTATCATGTGAAAATTTTTGGAAAATTCACCATTTTGAAAGAGTAACCAAATTAATCAGCCTGGTACTGTCTGGATGGTGTGTGCTAGTGAATCTTAAATTGGTCTGGGTACACGCACTTGGAAACAATTTACTTGTGCATACTGAGCATAATGTACACGTACTTCGCAGATGGTGTTGGTTAGAATTTTTGTCAATGTTTTTACGGTAAATTTGTGGCCATGTGTGACAAAAGTGATTTGATAAGCAGCACACATCACTGAGAGGTTTGTAATTTACTTGTAGGTGCTGTATTTTGCACTCAAATTTGAATTGATGGCAGTTTTATTAGGCCATCTTACGGCTGAGTACTCGAGTAATAAGTTTAAATGTTACAGCTTACACTGAATAACACTAGCAGGTTAGTGGGGATGTTGTGACGGTCGTTTTCAAGGTTGCTTCTGATGAGCTGTTTCAGAACAACATACTGAATGTACAGTTATTTGTTTAGTAATTTTGGCCAGTACGCTTTGTTACCTTGTGCACTCGTTTTGTGGGTTGCTGGGTCTTCAGGTCTTGTTGCTTTTTGAAACCAGTAAGTGTGATAGTTGTACTTAGATTTATTATACAGCGCAGAAAATAATACTATATCACGCCTCTAGTTTTTCATCATAAGAGATGTATATCCCATATTTCAAATGTAGAGGTGCCAAACGACATGAATCAGGGATTAAAATCCAATTTAAGAAATACTATTTTCCTGACTGTCCATAGATTAAGTGCACGACCACTGCAACTTTCAACAAATGTAACTTGCAACAGTTACGTTCTTTCCCCTGTTCTTGTGCATTCAAGTACATACAGACTGGATAATTAAGATTATAGCTGTTTCAATATTGTTTTCTCAAATGAAGCATTTCCTACACTTCTGTCCAAACTGTCTCTCAAGGTAGTCAGAACTCTTGTCATATCAACACCAATACTATCTTAAAAAAATACTGATCAATCATCAGATTACTCTGCAAGCTATTTCCAGAGTATTGCTGAAAGACTCCAAGGCATTTGTTAATTGTATGCACAGTTTGGGAGCCCCCCTTATGATGAATTGGTGCAGTTACAGAAAGCAAATACAATAAACCTTTGCTTTTTGGGGAGGGGTGATGTTTTGTGGATTGTTTTGACAACTTTGATGTAGACATATTATCTGGATAATGGAATGGATAATGCATCAGCAACATAGCATATAGCCAAACCAATTGAACACAGCATACAGGAACATATTACCAGGCATTCCAGGGGTTTGCACCTTGCTGGCATTTTCTATATATGCAAAATACAATGATACAACTTTCAAATATTGACTCAAATTACGAGCAAATATACACAACAAAGTTGCAATAAGTTTCCCATGTCACGTAAGAAAAGGTATGAACAAATAAACAGTTATTTCATATAAACATTATGAGCACATTTTCCATCTTAAACATGAAGAAAATGCAAGTGAACTTAGAGACTTCAGCTTCTGGCCTGAATTGGAACTTAATGCGCATTGCAAAGTACATACAAATGAATGATAGTACATGTATATAAAAGGAATCTAAGTACTGTGTGGCCTGACATCGTATGCAAATTTAACCCACTCATAGAAAGAATCTTCAAAAGCAAGCATTCGCACAAGTCGAACTCAGCTGGGCTAGACATATTATACAAATTATATTACATGAAATCACTACAAAGAAAATAACTTATCGGCGACGATAACAATTACTCTGATTTTTACAGCAAAGAATCATTGATGATTTATTTGTGAAAATACTAACATTTCAAAGTGTCAACAAGGTTTATGTTACGATGGTGAACAGTGAATAGATTAGGCTAGTGTTTGTGTAAAAGATCTTGTGTAATATAAATAAGATGCTACAGGCAAAAAGTTGGGGAGGCTCTACAATGAAGGACAACTCCATGGATAACAAAAACAGTTCCTTGACAGTGCAAATACTCTGAGACACAAGTAAACAACTGAATGTCAGAAATTTCAAGAGTACACAGGAAACCTTTGCCATTCGTAACACCTCTTGGGGTCAACTCTCATGCAGTAATGATAGATAAGTGGGGTGTACATTACATGACACAGTGCATTTTTCTCTCTTCATAAAATCAAAATAGCAACATTACTAATTGCTTTTTCCCTTCTATACCTTTGTGTCACTTTGAGGCAACAATCCAATCAGCATTCCTTTCTGAAGTTTACTGTTTCTATACACAGAAATCTGAGATTGATTCCAATTGAAAGGATTCAGTGTTGTACATACTCCTTATTCTTTGCCTTAGTGCTATTCTGTTTTAGGTTACTGAATAATTCATTGTTTTTCTCTTTTACAGTCTGAGACTTCTGACCTGCCGTTCATGCCACCAATGCGAGGAGACTTATTTCTGGTTCCCAATGGCATTCGTCCTGTAATGCAGAGGACTGGTGTAGAAGTAAGCTTTAAACTTCCTGGTTTTTAAAATTGCCATGGATGGTGTTTTTGAACCGTTCCTGGAAATGACATGGATGAGTAGCATCTGTCGCTGTGTCTGAATCGAAACCTTCCCATGCTGTAGACAAAATACGCAAAATCTACAAGGTGATCTAAAAAAATTCACCCTTTTCTGTACATACATGCATGCATTTCCCATTTTCATATTGTTATGTTCAAGGCTCTATGCAAGTGAACCAGCAAGCCAGCATATGGGGATTTACTTTTCAGCCTGGTTTCCATATCGACATAAGAAACACAGATATCAACGCAATCAAGACGCAAACTGCAACACAGACATATGGAAACATGTCAAACGGCAGTATCGTCGATAACCCATACATAACTTCTGGTTTGCCCAAGAGGAATCAGCAAAGTTGAGCCGGGTTCAACTTTGCCGACTGTCTGTCAGTCACTGAGTAGGCCTACACAAACACACACGTTGGTATGACGGACGTACAATGATGTTTCTCTCGCTTAGTACCAATCATATTGTCCATTTTCTCCTGACTGCTAGCATAGCTGTCCAGCTATGCTAGCAAACTACATATTAGCTATTAGCAAACTACATCAAACTGCATCAAAGTTTTGACAGGGGGATTTGATTTTGTGTAGTGCAGTGATCCATTAGTGCGAATGGAGTGTGTGATGTGTACATGTACATGGACTGGTAAATGCTGAATTCAAAAAATCAAGCTCTATTAGACTGCTGAAAATATGTGCACTAAAACTTTCAAAATACATGAAAGTGGAAAATACCTACACATAGAGGGGAATCTAGTTTTGTGAACTAGCTCATTCGCTGAAGCATTTCAGAAGTTTTTTATCGCTTCATGTTTTTGGAGTGTTGAAGTTTGGAATTTACTTCAAGTTGTTGCCATTGTCACTGGCTCCCGGCCATTCCGTGCTGTTCTTACGTGTGCTATACATGCCTTATCACTTCCTTTACGACACTGCGCTTGCAATGCATCTTTTCTCATGCTTAGGCTGTGGGAAAGTAGAAATTATCAATTTTGACTCCGCATACCCTCATATCATATGCATGTACACAATATCATACAATTTTACATGGAATATACATGTGATATCCTCTAAATGTACATGTGCTAGCAGAGAAAGGTCTGGTATCAATCCACGATAGCAGTGTATGCAATGCCGCGTTGGGATGTGTCCTAACTGTAACGCTACACAAACAGCCATGCAGTGATCACTGACCATGCCAATAAACAGACATTGCTGAGTGACTTATCACTTACACTTCGTGCCAACCGCAGTGCAGAAGTCGATGCCACTGCAGGATTTTTAAATGCCAACTTACATGAAGGATTTTGTTGTGCTTTTTGTGGAAATGGGACCAAGAGTAACACACTGACTTGGGTGAAATGACGACCTCTAAAACTGACTTAAAAATAAAAATTCTTATGGAAATGCATTAGAGATGATGAGGACTTTTGTAAGATTGCCAACTTGAATGATTTGTCGAGTTGTACGATGTCGACTTAGCCTGAACTTACTATATCTCACATACTGTCACTGGAAAAAAAAAAAGTTATGACTAACTGAAGCAAAAGACATGCAAGTAATTTTACTCTTGCCATTAAGAGTGACCTAACCTAAACTAATTCTGAATTTGTTCCTGTGTTGATGCATGCATTAACCAAAGGACACAATCCAGCTTGCAGTTGTGTATGATAACCTTATGCAGGGGTCTAAACCTGAAATGTTATATGTCATTTTTTTGCTTTTTTCAAGAGGTATTTTCTAATAAATATAAAAGTCATTTTTGCTGTTAGTAAATCATCTTGTGGTTAAATTTAACAAATCTTGAAGCTTAAGCGATTGCAGACAATTTTAATGGAGTTGAAGAAATGATTTATTTGTCTTTCTTCAGTTTCTCTGCTGGGGTGTGCGTAACATGAAGAAGTTCCAGCTGTCAGCAGTTACATCACCGTGCATCGAGTTTGAAGTGGGGGGAAAAATCATCTCCTCCAAAGTCATCAAAAATACCAAGAAGAACCCAAACTTTGACTCTCCACTCCTCTTCTTGGAAGTAGTAAGTTGAAACTAGTTTACATTTTGGTTGTCTTAATCATGGCATTTAAGATGTCACATGGCCCATGATGACATCATTAAACTTTCACTTTAAGTATAACCTGATGATGTCATGATGCGCTTCATTGCAGTGTGCAAACTGTGCAAAATTCTGACTACATTCAATTGTATTGATGTATATTCACACTAACATTGTGCATGCCAATCATCCAGTAGCCATGTCCTTAGATTCCTATTAATTAAGCCAATGATACCATTAAGTGGCAATGCATAACACTTTCAGTTGTATGCATCTCGCCCTTCCAAGGCCACTTGAAGGCAAGGTCTGAAGCTGCCAAACTTGCAAGCTTTTCCATGGCAGTGCCTTTTACCTGTCAATCAACCAGAACAAGGGCAGCTTTGCTAACTCTTTTAAGGTTGGAATTATTGTTTGTCTGACGAAAGATTATCATGTCGCAAATTGGTTCCTTTGTGATGAGTCAGAGCATGACATTCAGCCCTGATGGAGTTAAACCAGGCCTGATCAGTTCAATCCAGAGTCTTAATACCTTAATTTGATGACACGTCTTACTTGAAGCAGTTTTTAAAATGTAACACAAGTTAATTCTTTGAGTTTTAATGGAAAAAACCTCTGTCATTTTACTTAGGTGGTCTAGGATAAAGTTGAGCAGCTAGATGTTGTTACATACCTAAGACGGTTGTTTCAAGTTATGAAAGGATTTTCATATTCAGTTCACATGTAATGATGTGGCCTTGGCATTCTCCCAGGTTACATTCAGGTTGGCAAAAGAATATTTGAATGAGAAATTGAAACTGGATGGTGATCAACTGATAGAACTGGGAACTGGATTTCGGTGTATTGTTTCTTCCTCTAGAGCCCAGTAGTGTTAAATACATTGACTGCCGTGGATGGTGATCAACTGATAGAACTGGGAACTGGATTTCGGTGTATTGTTTCTTCCTCTAGAGCCCAGTAGTGTTAAATACATTGACTGCCGTGGATGGTGATCAACTGATAGAACTGGGAACTGGATTTCGGTGTATTGTTTCTTCCTCTAGAGCCCAGTAGTGTTAAATACATTGACTGCCGTGGATAATTTCACAAGGCATTCCCTTTTGCAAAACATATACATGCACACATGTTTAAAAGGTACTTTTTGGTGTCTATATGTTGTAGCACATTCATTTCTAATTACTCTACGGAGGAACAACTATCTATGAGATGTCTCATAGCTGGCAATGGCATAGAGTGGATTATTCCACTGTGACGGCTGCTGTATGAGTTATCTCGTACCATATCACTACCAGATAACTCAAAGGTTGGCAATACAGGTAACTCACAATAATGCACCTCCAAGAGTTTGCAAAGCAATTGACCAATCTCAATGTGTGAATCTGTTGACCCAATGCGCATTTGGAAAGGGTCAACAGATTTCGCGCATTGTGATTGGCCAATACGTTGCAGACTCTTGGAGGCGCTCTATTGTGAATTGCCCGTATTGGATGACGAACTTGTTTGATTCTCCATGCAATATATATTGCATTCTGCAAGGGTGTGGTTTGTCCAGATTTTTCCGAATTTCCGGAATTTGTGTGTGGAATTTCTGTGAAACTTTCCGGATTTCTGTATTGTCAATGCTTTGAAAATGTACCACAAAGACTACAATATTTGGTGCGAAACTAAGCAAAAGACTTGCACAAGTTTAGGTGTATAGCATGTGCTTTTACGTTGCTACTCCCCCTGGAAATGCACCAGATACATAGGTATTAGTACATTGAAAGGAGGGGGTATCATTGTTAAAACATAGGGACCAAGGCCAGCGGAATGATCGTTTTTTGTATGAACATGTACTGTATGTACTGTACGTTCACAGTGTGTATATGCACGGTACACTTGTTGTCGTTGCATGCACTGTGTACAACTTGCGTCCGTCTGCCATTGCGTTTCATTTTGTTCTCGTGGTGGTCCGATGTCATCGACGTCCATCAAAAATGTCATTCAAGGTAGCAGGTAGGGAAGGGGATCTGAATGTAGACAAAGAATTCAAGAATTCTTGGAAATTTTCCTGGCTGGAAACTGAGGTGGACAGAGAATTAACCAAGGGGAAAGCCAAATATTATTGTGACTTTCTCATGAAAATTGACAAACCTGGGTACTGCAAGTGCACATGGTGTCACGAGTAATGCAGTACTCATCAGTATGAGACAGTTTTCAGTTTTTATAAATTGTGATAGAATTTGTGGATCACTGCGCTTTGTGTGTCACTTCTAGGTCTTTGATTGTCACCAATTATAGCTTACATGTCTAACTGCAATTGAAGTGAAAGAGGACAAGGGTTTTGTTGTAGTAAATGTTATAATTGTATCCCTCAAAGTAAGAACAGCTCTTGTGGTGGCTTACATGTAGTACCTGAATCTCCTCCTATAATCAAATAGATATGCTGCAAATTGTAGGGAAGCTGTGGCCTTCGCGACCTGCAAAACCCTCTGACGAATGTTTCGTGGATTTTTCATTTTCCCAAATCACACCCCTGATTCTGTGAATGTTTGGACTGTCATTGACATTGCATTGTATGTTACGTGTACTGAAACTCCCCTACCATATATCAAAATGACACCACTAAGTGCTAGCAGTAAAAAATACCATGTGCCCCAATGAACTGTACTAAATAAACTATCAAGAAATCAGAACAATCTCGTGGAACTATGACACTAATCAGAAATCAAAAAATCAAAAAAAATGTTGATTTTGATGTTTTGAAAGCTGCTGGGTTTTTGTAGAGAGCTTTAGACAAATGTGCCCATGATAAAAAAACACCATGTGATGTACCAGTTTTCTCAAAAATGGAAAGAAAATGGTAGAACAGCTTGTTCAATCTTGTGATGTTCACATTATTTATAAGATTGATCATTGATTGCTATTGATTGATCACACTGCTTTGGGGCGGGGGAAAATTGATAATTCATATTCATTATTTTTCGCTTCACTTGGCACTTTCATTTTTTGAAAAAAAGGCAAAATGTTGCCAGGGGCAAGGCTAGTTGCCCTCCTGCCCTTCCCCCACTGGATACACTAATATTATCAAACTTTATGAAAAGCCACAAGTCAAAATGCAAAGTTATCTTGGCATTATAATACTTTAGTCTTTCACTCTTGATTGAAAATAAAGTACTCCAGGTGACAGGACATCTTAAATTTTGCCAAATTTCTGACTTTATTCCTAATTGCAAAAATGCAAAAAAGAAATTCTTTGAACATGATCATTTTATAGATGTTGTCCTTATTCTTGTCAGCAGTGTATTTGTTGGGTTATCAGTGATGCCAGTGTATTCAATTAACAATAAAAAACCTTTCATTTCTACAAGTGTACTCGCAGTGGCAGAATCTGGTACAACTGTTGCTATGTGTACACATGTACTCATAGTCAGTAGTCAACGTGTTAATAGAGTTTTAAACAAGGGTACCTTATGGATGACTGTAGGATGTTAGAAACTTCGGAATGAAAAGTTTTCAGAGAATAGAATGGTTTCTTGTTGACCTTTTTGACCAGACTTATTTTGCCATGTTTTGATGTAGTGGTTGTGTGAAATTGCAACTTATTAATAAATTTGCTTTTGGTTTGGTAGGACTTGCCTAAGGAAGAGCTGTACACACCACCAATCAACTTGAAGGTTCGTGATCACCGTGCCTTTGGTCGTAAACCCATTGTAGGGGTTTCTGTCATCAAGAATCTGTCAGAATACCGTGTAACGCCTACTGTAGAACCAACCAATGGCACTCCACCATCTCTAGAAAAGCCTACTGGAAATGGAGGTTAGTTTCATTGAACAATTATTCTGACTTTCCTTTTTCCCATAAATGCTCTAACTTGCAGTAAATTCCTTTAACTGTACCTTCCCTGACAGCACTTCTGATCATCAAGGGTGCCAGATTTCTCTGAAACCTTGGAAAATAATCACTGAAATGGTTCATACCATGATATGGCATCACAATACAAAACTCTGTACCATGATATCGTCGGGTGCCCAGCAAAAGGGCGCAAGTGTGATCACAGCAGAAAAATGATCCCGGCAAAAGGGCGTAAGTGTGATCACAGCAAAAAAATGTTCCCGGCAAAAGGGCG